AAGACAAGACTCAACTCATTGATTTTGTGATTGTGCTGTCTGTTTGTATAATTATTTGAATATGATTGCTTGAATTGAGTGTTACATGAATTGCATTACTTGTCTTCAGTAGGTCACCGAGTTCAAACCTCCAAGCTTGTTAAAAATCATCCTAAGGACTCAAGGGTGATTGTTCACAGGCTTGGCGGTTGAACTCGGTGCGAAGTTAAGACAAGACTCAACTTATTGATTTTGCTGTTTTTTTATCTCTGCCTAGTTTGATGTCTCTGTCTCGGTTAGCTATTTCTCTTTACTTATGTAACTTTATTTTATATTTTCTTTGCCTGAGATGATGGAGTGATCGTGAACAAACAAGCATGATCAATGGAGAATCAAGTTAAAAAATTGAATCTCTGAGTAACTTAATCTCTGGAAGTAGAACATAGCTTAGGGTTTTAATTTACTAGCATTGCGTAGGTTATCGGTAGGCCAGTTAACTTAGGGTTTTAATTTACTTACATGTTCAGATGTACTGATGACACATTTAAAGTGTACTTGCATAAAATTTCAAATATTTAAAAAATAATATTTGCAATTTTTTAATTAGAATTTTAAAACGGTTTTAGAAAAACCGCAAGACGTGTGAGAGAGACAAAAAACACCAGAAACTAGCCTTCCAGGACCGTAAAACCTAAGAGAGAGAACATGGGATCGAGAGGCGACTCAGAAGATCACACGTTTGATCCAAACTATGTCCCACCAGATACAGTTGACTTGGAAACTCAAAATCTCATAGCTAGGCTTGTTGCAGAAGAAACAAACGTTGATCGGTTCACTGAAGATGATGTAGCTTGTGTTCCTGGAAAGAAAGGAAGCAAAAGAAAGCTTATCAGTCTTGTAGATGAAACTGATTATTATGATGTTGAGCTCACTCCATCAACCCAAAAAACCAAGCCTCGCAGAAAAAAAAATTTTGGAACAGCCTCGAGGAAAACGATGTTGCAATCCACTATAGATGGTGGCATTGGCTCGTCCTCACAAGCGCTCAGAAAGTCTGTTCCTATGAAGTCTGTGATTCGTGGAGGGAGAAGAAAGGTCGTGCCTACTCAATCACCAAAGAAAAAGGCTGTGCCTACTAAGTCGCAAAAGAAGAAGGAGAAGGTCGTAGAGGACATTCCGGACTTTGACAATGAAATCGAAGATGAAGAAGAGGATGATGATGATGAAATCGGTGACGAAGAAAGGGAAGAGAGGCAAAGTTCTGATGTGTGGACCGATTTTAAGGTGGTATATAAAGCCAGTGGAAAGTTGAAAGCTGCATGCAATCATTGCAGGAATGAGTATGCATGGAATTCCCATTCCATGGAACTAGTGGGCTGAGAAGGCATCGTAATAGATGTAAAATGTATCCAAGGAATTGAGGAGGTCAACAACAACTCAACCCCAAGGGTAAAGTTGTTCCTCGCAAGTATGATCATGTTGTGTTTAGGCAGATGGTAGCTAAGACAATAGTACAGCATGATCTACCTTACTCGTACGTGGAGTATGAAAAAGTGAGAGACACATGGAAGTATTTGAATGCCGATGTGAAGACCATTTGTCGAAACACAGCGAGAGCAAATGTGTATTGATTATATGAAAGTGAGAGAGAGACACTAAAGAGGGAATTAAGGAGTCTTCATGGACGAGTTTCTTTCACAACTGACTTGTGGACATCAGTGAAACGGGAAGGATACATGTGTATGACAACACATTACATTGATCGGAATTGGAAGTTGAACAGCAATATTATGGCTTTTTGTGCTCTACCTCCACCACATGACGGTATGAAAATTGCGGTCCGCTTCCTTGATACACTGAAAGAGTGGGGAGTTGATAAACGGTATTTTCTCTCACTGTAGACAATGCTACAAGTAATGACTTGATGCAAGAAATTGTCAAATCCCAGCTAAATTTGAGAGATGATTTGATGTGCACCGGAGAGTTATTCCATGTTAGATGTGCAGCTCATATACTTAACCTCATAGTGCAAGATGGGTTGAAGGTTATTGGAGACTCTTTGCACAAAGTAAGAGAGAGTGTTAAGTATGTGTTAGGATCGGAAACGCGTGAATTTTTTTTTGAAAAATGTGTGGATGCTGCGGGTGTAGAAGAAAATGGGGGGGGGGCTAATACTGGATGTGTCGACAAGATGGAACTCGACTTACTACATGCTTGAAAGGACCTTAAAGTACCGTAAAGCATTTGTTAAGTTGGAGATATTTGATAAGAAGGGTTATAAGATGGCGCCCACACATGAGGAATGGACTAGAGCTAAGAATATATGATGTTTTCTGGGTCCTTTTGCGGTGATTACAAGCCTGATGTCTGGTTCAAATTACCCTACTGCGAACTTGTATTTCTATCAGGTTTGGAAGATCCATAGTTGGCTTCAACAGAATGAGTACAGCGAAGATGAGATTGTCAGAGACATGGTGCCACCGATGAAAGAGAAGTTCAATAAATATTGGGTGGAAGTCAGTGATGCTTTTGCAATGGCAGCAGTCTTCGACCCACGGTTTAAGATTTCAGTTGTCGAATGCTGTTTAGGGAAGCTTGACATGACCATGTGTGATGCAAAGTTGAAGAACTTGCGGGAGAAGCTTACTACTTTGTTTGAGTCTTATGACAAAAACTCCAAGAATAACTCACCTTTTACAGAGCCACGTGAGACTGTTTCACAATAACCATGTGCAACAAGGTCAATGGGATTGTTTGAGAACTACGATGTGAGTGTTGTTTCAATTTTATCCTACTTTTCATTTATTTTTAACCCCTCTAATTTTTTTTTTCTAAAACTTTCTTAGGATTTCTTTGCATTTCGAAAAGTCAGTGGCGTTTTGAGCGGAAAGACACCTCTCGAACCTTATCTTGATGAACCACCGTTGGACATTACTAATTTCCAGAGCTTGGACATTCTCGATTGGTGGAAAGATAATGCGCATCGGCATGGTGATTTAGTTGCAATGGCATGTGATCTGCTAAGTATTCCAATCACAACAATCGCTTTGGAGTCCTCCTTTAGTATTGGATCGCGAGTTCTAAACAAATATATGAGCCGTCTACTCCCAAAAATTGTGCAAGCTCTGATATGCACTAGGAACTGGATAAAGGGATATGAATCTTATGCACATGGTAAAGAATTCACATTATAATTTATTGTACAGTAATTATCCTTAATTCAAAGTAAATTAAGTTTTTATATTATCAGATGAAGAAATTGTTGGTGATAGTGAGGAAGAGAAATTACCTTCATTTGAATCCATTGTCGATGTAGAAGATGAAGATTGAAGATGAAGAGGAGCATGTTTGAAATGTTATTTTGATTTGGTGTTTTGCTTTATTACAATTTGAGGTTTGATTTTTAAGTTGTTTGCTTTTGTTTGAGTACTATGATTTGGTGTTTTTATAAAATTCAATTTGGTTCAGAATTTACATTTCATATTCTACATGCATTTTATCACAAACTTTATGAATTCTAACATATGAATGCAGAAAACAGATTTGAAGTGAATGCTAAAATAATTTTATAAAAAATGTAAATGATGTCCAAAACTATATATTTTCAATGTGATGCGTCTTAGACCTCTCTGAAGCGTCTTCCGAAGCGCCTATGACCAGTCTAAAGCAACTAGGAGCAGTCAGCAGCACCATTGACATCTGGCCCGCGGGACGGCCCATAGAAACATGTGCATTGTTGCGGGACGGAATTGGGCCAACCTTCTGCAGACCGCAGTCCGCGCGGGAAAGGGCCACCACGACCCGCGATAATCCAAGCCCGATGCCGTACGGGACGGGACGGAACGGGAAGGCTTGTTTGACAATCCTAAACGAGGGGTGTGTAATTGACCTAACAAAGTCATGCACCCCCATTGATATATCAAGAGGGGGTTCACAGAATTCCCAAAACAAAATAATAATATAAAAAAAAATTTTCTTATGAATCTGTATCACAAAAGCTCCCCCTATGAAATCATATTAACACTGTTCCGCGGGCCCCATATCACATGGCGGCCCACGATTGGTTCAGTTATTAATTTTTTTTTAAGTCAAACGAAAAAAATATATATATTCAAAAATGTACATTGGAAATCGAGATTGGTGGAGTTTGCTGATGGGGATGCTCTTATTACACTGCTATTATCAAAGGATTATGAAAAATCTGGGTTTGTAAATGAAGCTGAGATTCTACTTTCAAAAATGCTGTCTGGATATTCAGTTCATAACAAGTAAACATACGGTTGTTTTTTAGGTATTCTCACCAATGGAGAAGGTGACATGCAGAAAGCTCATGTGGACCTCCATGATGCGATATTGAAAGGGGTCTTTTAGCTAACACTGCTACGTACAATATGTTGATCCGTGCATTTTGTAGAGAAGGGAGAATGAATGAATGAATGAATGAAGCTTTTGAGCTTGTAACAAGAGGATAGGAAGAAAAATGTGAAGAAAGCGATTGAGTTATGGAACTTGATGATGATGGAAAGAGGCGTAAGGCCTGATGATGGTGTAGCGTATAACACTATGGTACACTGTTGTTGCGTGACTGTCGGCAGAGATGGAGAAGGCGATTGAATTGAGGAGGAATCATGAGATGTTGAGATACAAGGCTTCAAGCCTAACTACTAAACCGGCGGATTATAAGAGAACAGAAAGCACCATGTAGGAAGAAGCTTATTCAAAGAGAGAGAGAGTTTGTTTTAGTTGACCTGGCATTTCAAGACATCAAGATCCATCTCAGTTGCTTGAATTCCGTCAAGTTCACCCTCCTCGGATCTCGCACATAGATCATCTTACTTCTCACCTTTGCTACCTTTGGCAGAAATAAAAGACCACACCATTTGATCATCATCACTAGGTAAGAATTCAGTTTTTTTTTTCTTTTTACTAAAGCAAGACTGAATTTGCCTGAATAACATAATTCATGTAGTATTTGCTTTGAATGAGATTTTCGTTAGACATACATATGTATATGTGTATATTGGGAGTACAATAAGAACTATCTTTTACACTAGAAAACATAATGAGTCTTTATTACATTTCGGTCCTTGGAAACAAGTTTTGTCAAATTATTTAGGAAAGCGAATGAAATTATACAACTACTCATCATACAGCTAATCTTCTATATAGCTGAATAAACAAGACCGGGAACATATGTATCTATTATCTCCATCACAAGTCTTTAGGACGACTAAGAACTTGCATCGAGAGGCACATTGGCTGCATAATGGCCGAGTGTTGTTATTATTACGGACCACCTCAAATCTTTTTCGACGATAGAGAATGAGCTTTTCTGGCTTGAGACGTGAGAAATCTCCTACTAGGCATCGTGTATGAAATGTGACTTCACAATCAGAGCATGTATAGAACCATTTACAGTGATCTACTTCCCTCTCACAAATGTCGCACCAACTTTCTATGCTCATCTTTACACCGCAATGTAAAGTGATAGGGTGATCATCATTCCTATGCCACATCTTTAAAGGCAAAGTAGCACAATACAAACATAATTTGAACTTACAGTCATCACAACGCAGCGCATATATACCTTCAACAAAGTCCTCACATGCATCGCAAGTAGAACGCCACATATCATAAAAGTATAGGGGATGTGAATGGCCATCATGGACAAACGGGTCAGAGATAGAACCACAATGTACATCTAGTCTAAACAATTCCATCCCATCTCCCACTGTGTACTTGAAACCATCAAAAAATACTTTACATAGGATGCACCTGTCTACAATTCCGTCAACAACTTCCAAGGAGTATGGTGCAGTAGTAAAGATAAACTTTATCTTCATAGAAAGATTAGCACATTTTTCATGAAGAATAAATCCACATTCCTCACAACCATAGATGGACTCAGATCCAAGTGGATAAATACATGCTTCACACTTTAGCCACTTATCATAAAGGGTATTGTTATTGTATAATTTTAAAGGATGTTTTTCATGACTAAAATGAATTATCAAGTCATCACCCACCACCTTGAATGGTGTGGTATCATGATTTGGGATACCTTCTAATTCTTTACCATCCCATACGTCTTCTCTTACAGCACATCTACAGTGAGCTGCATACTTTGGACATACAGAGCAAGAATATGCTCCATGGTACTTACTTAAGCTGTTGCGACAAACTCCACATTTCGAGTATCCCCCACCAAGACAATGAGTGAAAGAAATTTGATGATTATGGCGATTGATGTTGATAACACGGGGTAAGTCAATACATTCTCCATGGGTAAGAAAAGCACATTGAATACATACATAAGACCCCCATTTACCGTCTTCCCCACAAACATCACAAGTAAATGTGATTATTTTTGAAAAGAGAGTAAGTGGATGTATGTGGGTCTTCTTATGCCCAATTACAAGGGGTGGTGAACTTTTAGTACAAAGAAGGCATATGCTGAAGTTGCAAATGTGACAATGATAAACAGCTTTTCTTGGTTGTTTTTTACATGAAAAACAAGTCTTTTCGGCATCACCCAAAAGTTTTTCAGATGCAATGAGTTTGATAGGATGATTAGGGTGACAATGATGATTTACCTCTTTTGGGAGATTGACGCAATCCATGTGGAAATATATATTGCATTCATGACATAAATATGATGGTCCCCAAATACTCTCCATGCACACCTCACACGAGGATTTTACTCGTTCCTTCAAGAAGGCAAGTGGATGGTCATGACATGGGAGATGTTCGATATCAGACGGTGATGGCTTCATCCCACAACTCAAATGTACTTTGAATTCGCATGTGGAACAAATATAGCCTGAGGAAAAAATAGCTTCTCCACAAAAATCACATGGATCATGAGAAGAATCTTTTATGAGCAGGAGAAGATGTTGAGGGTGAGAAGGGTGGTTGATTTCCAATGGGGCTTCGGCACACTTCTTATGGAAGTATGAAGAACAATTAGGATCATTGCAATAGTAGCCACCATAAATGTTTTCTGTTCTACCGCAGGATCCACAATATGTATTAACAACCCGAGCTGAAAAGAAAAGAGGATGTTTGTGAATTGATGGTTTATACATGGTTGTTGATGTTATTGTTTCCATGTGTAAATCGATGTATGTGAGTGAATTTAAGAGGTTTGTTGGATGGGATAAACAATTGGAACCATAAGACATTGTTATATATGCATCCGTAAAGTTGATTCTTTGTGTCATGCGTGGAAACAAGTTAAGACTATTCCCGAAGAAATCTGAAAAAAATGTGTTTTCTTTCCCAAACAAACAAAACAAATATAAATGCTTTCTTCCAACAATAACAGAACAAATGCTTTTCTTGAACAATGTTCTCGAAGATATTACTTTGAGGAATGAGATGTTGAGACAAGGGTTGATTGATGCCAAACACCAAAACCTGCGGGTTTAACTACTTTGAATGATTCTTATTCGAAACCATGAATCCTTGTGTTAATATATAAGTTGCGTGTTTATAAATCTTTTATACTTTTGCATTTCTCATCCATACGCTTAAAGGAAAACATTTTACACATAGGATCCAAACACAGCACAAACCTTGGGTTCAATATGAGATGAAACACTGTATAAGTAACAAAGACACAGAAGACAAACAAGATGGATAGGGGGGTTGTTAGGTTTTTTATCACAGTTGCGAGAAACTGTATAGAGAAAAGAAAACACCATTTTATGAAAAGAGTAGGATAAAATATGAGGGAGGGAAAGAGTGTTTTCTTTCAGTTGACACGGCTTTTGAAAACATCAAGATCCATCTCAGTAGGATCAGTTGCCTGAAGCTCCACTTGAATCCCATCAAGTTCACGCTTGAACCTGTCCTTGGAGCTCGCATAGATCATCTTGCTTCTCACCTTTGCTACATCCGGACACCTTTTCGCAAAAAACAACAAAACACACCATTAATCATCACAAGGTAAGAACAGAGGAAATGAGAGAGTAGTCTTTTTTTTGTTTACCATGCAATGAAGAAAATCTTGCTCTTCTGGCAATTCTCAACAGTGACAAAGTCGAAATCATAAATAGCGTAACGGCATTCTTCAGCAGGGAGGCTAGCAGCAAAATCCTCATAGGATAGAATAGGTTCACCAACTTTCTCAACAACCACTTGCTTCTGCTTCTCCTCGATCTTGTAAACAATGAAACGGTGTGTCCTTTTGGCCTTGAGTTCAAGAAACCTTAGCTTGCAGTCATCATGGACTGCCATCCCCGAAGCCGCATTAGCCTAATAATATTAATCAATACAACAATAACCAAAAGCATTAAGGTTTCATATATATCAGATCACACCAAGATAGTATGTGTATCCACACAATCCTAGAACCAACGGATCAACATTTTTTTTTTTAGTTAAAAAAAAAATACTAGTGAATGTAACTCTATAGTAGTAACGATCTAGACTTCAAATTTGAATACACAGCAAGTCTGATGGATCAAGCAATCAAACTAATCTAAGAAAAACAAATCCGATCTTCCAGATCTAGTGAGCCAAATAGGTTATGGAATCCAAGTCGGAATAAAAAAAATCGAGAAGCTAGCTTTATATTGAAGAACTGGAAACACCACAGTATAGATAAACAAATTAATTAAAATAAGAGAAAAAATTCGAAATCTCACCATTGCTGCTGAATCAAAACGCTGTCAGAGACAATTTCGGGTGAAAGGTGACGCGGAGAAGACAGATGTTTTTTCTTCTCTTTTTCCTTTCTTCTGCGTTGTTTGGAAGCTACATTGAGTCTATATATAGAGAGAGATAATCATTTACGTATTTTCTTCTATTTATGAATTTATTTAAGTCAACATAGAATAAGCATCGAAACTATATACATAAAAAAAAATGTTCTGTTTTTTTTCATTGAAAACATTTGTATGAAGTTTATTATAAACAAGATGGCCAAATTTGGTTCACTCATTTGCTGCATGCGTCAAGTGTAAGTTGATTTTTAAGCAAACTGTGTATATCGTCAAGTCAAAGACTTGACTTATTTACTTACATGTGTTTTTTTGGACCAGTCTACACAACCCGACCAACTTAATAGATAAAAGCTACATTCAGCATGTGTGTTTTTGAACGCACGTTACTTGTTACCAAAATAATAGTCGGTGCGTGCATTGAGTGAGTGGTCACATGGCCTTAAGACGTTTACCTTTCCTGGGTTATCCCAATAATTGTGAGGTCACTGAGTAGGACTCCATTGAAGTGACTCAGTCTTGCCTTCATAGGTGTAATGGTATCTCTCAAGGGATAAAATAAGATTACAGCTTAAGCGTATAGGTATTATGTTTATCCTCTTCATAAGATTGATAGTTCCTAGAAGAAAAGAACAGAAACAAAAACATAAATTCGAATTGTTTAAATAAATATTGAATGTATATATAAATATACATTTTCTGACAGTTTAAACCTTACTCAATCCAGTGAGTTCTATCAAAGTCTTCATGATTTTACTGTTGAAAGATTGCGTAAGAAAGAGCCATGGACAACTACCAATGGTTGGATCTGCCGATCTGCTTCCAAATAATAAAAACTCTCAAACTATATATGACTAAAGTGTTTTGAGGTGAGTGTTTTAAAATCGATTTTGCTGGACCAGACTCGACTGAACAAGACCTTTCGTTATTCGGTCAGGACTATCATCCTAGCCTGGAATGGCTGTATTGATGATTTTACCAATTACCATGCAAGTTTATACATGAACAATTCAAGCCTTGCTTATGTCTAAGAGTCATGTGCGAAATGAAAATTTGTTAAATATATACAATCTACTCATCTACACAGGATACAATCTAGTGATCTAGTATAGATCTAAGTAACATACAAGGCATCTCGTGGATCTGTCTACTTAGGCAACCTTATCATATAATATCATTTGTTTTATTCCATGGATCACTAGGCATGACACGTAGATGAGACACAATGTTCCAATAGGATCATCTGTTGATAAACGGTTTGGGTTTCTTACACAATTTTAAAAGAGCACAAGCCAGTTTTAAGCAAGACACTGTACTAATAACCAAAAAAGAAGAGAGACCGAAGACAAAGACAGATCAAATGAAGCTGTTTTGGCTGGTGCCGTCACAGCAAACTTTAGGATAAAGCACATCACTCTGGTAACATAAGAAACAAAGTTTGAGACAACCGTTCCTCAATTGGCTCGGCTTTTGAAAATGTCGAGATCCATCTCAGTTGGATCGGTTGCTTGAAGCTCAACTTGGATCCCGTCTAGCTCTCTCTTGAACCTATCCTTAGAGCTCGCATAGATCATCTTGCTTCTCACTCTTGCTGTGTCCGGAGACCTTGGCCAAAACAACAACAAGAAATTTCCTAAGAGCTTGAAGAGAAGATGAAGCGAGTTGTTAGCAATTAGTAACAGCTCTTACCATGCGACGAAGAAAATCTTGCTCTTCTGGCAATTCTCAGCAGTGACGAAATCGAAATCAAAGATGGCGTATCGGCATTCATCAACAGGAAGACTTGCTGCAAAGTCATCATGAGATTGACCAGGTTCGCCGAGCTTCTCCACTACCACTTGCTTCTGCTGCTCCTCGATCTTGTACACGATGAAACGGTATGTCCTCTTCGCCTTGAGTTCAAGAAACTTGAGCTTGCAGTCATCATGGACTGCCATTCCAGACGCTGCATTAGCCTGTTACCAACAACAACAAAGAACATTAAGAAGCGACTCACTTCAAACAACATGCACAGACAGTAGTAGACTCTGTAGATATGTTCTAAAACATTAACTCCAATGCGGAAACTAATCATCTCTAGTAACTGAACCATTAGCAGATTTTCATGTTTGAATGATCAATTTTGAAAAACTATGGGGTTATAAGTTATAATTCAGAATCAAAACACATCTGAAAATTAACAAGTAACACAACACTTCCAAAGATGCTAGAAAATAAACCTCAATAAACAAAAATCGATACATGGAATTCACATAAAACAATCAAATTTCTCCGGACTTCATAATCAATTCGTTTTAACGAAAACAAGCATCGTCCGATTCCTAAGATCATATCCTAGATCAGAGATCTAAACCAACGAACGAGTCCATCCCCAGATCTAATCAGATAATTCCTCACGTTATAACCGAAAATCTGAAGAATCAATACCCGAGACGAACGCTACAACGAAATGAACTCGAAGCGAAAAGCGCACTCTAAATCAGAGAAAGAAAAATCTACGAAGGGAGAAAAAAAACAGATCGAGGTTCTCACCATGGCTGAATCAAATTAGTTGCAGTGACGAAGACGAAGAAGAAGGTGGTGGTGAGTCTTGTCTTTTCTCTTCCTTTTCCTTAGCTCTATGCGGAAGCCTAGCTAGCTGACACGAATATATGTTTGGATTTTTTTTTACATCGGCGTTTAGAATTTTTTTTCTTAATCATATCTAAAAACATTATTGGCTTGGTTTAACTGGAGATTTTTTTTAACTTTTTTTTTGGACAATAACTGGAGATTTTTTTTTTAACTCGACTTCAACATTATTGGCTTGGTTTAACTGGAATTTTTTTTTTTTAAATTCAACTTTAACATTTATTTAATCAGTCATCTAAGATGATATTAAACCGCTTGAATGCATTTGTGGTTTTTTCTTGTGGTCAAGATATTTTTTTTTATAACACTAATAAATTAAATTGTGGCTTTATAAATTTCGATTACGAAATGAGGTCAATAAAATAGTAAAATTTCTAAATATATCACAAATTTGAAGCATCTTTTAAATATATATTTAAAAATAATCATTTGTGATGATTATAATAATTTTGTGATGAAATACATTAATTAATGGATAATGACGATGATAATCAGGAATATGTTTTTAACCCTCATAAATTATTCATAAAATCTTTAAAAATTATTGACATAGTATTATCTATTTGATCAAACAATATTCCCTTTATTAAATTAAACTCTTTGGAACTATAAAAAATGGCCAAAAAACGCAAATTCCTATAAAAAACTGGCGCAATCGTGAAAACACACATACTCGTATTTCATTGGCTAATCCGAAGAGACGCGGATCGCACTTAGATGATTCTCCACCGTAGATAAGAATAAATCCAACGGACACAAAGGTATATTTCTTTTACCCCTTTCAGCTATAAAAACACGGAAAACCGCTAGTGTCAAAAATACAAATCTCCCAATCTCCTTCCACTAAAACTCTCTGCAACCTTTCAACTAGAGCAAATCTTCATCCTCTGAAATGGAAACCGCCACCGGAAAAGTGAAGAAGGGTTTCGGAGGAAGAAAAGCCGGTGGCCCAAAGACCAAATCTGTCTCGAAATCGATCAAAGCCGGTCTCCAATTCCCTGTCGGAAGAATCACTCGTTTTCTGAAGAAGGGTCGTTACGCTCAGAGACTCGGTGGTGGAGCTCCGGTTTACATGGCCGCCGTTCTCGAATACCTCGCCGCTGAAGTAATCCTTCTTCTTAAAATCCAGATCTGATTTTGTTGTTTATAGAGAAAATCATTTTCTGATTTTTGGAATTTTGTGTGTTTAGGTTTTGGAGCTTGCGGGTAACGCTGCGAGAGACAACAAGAAGTCTAGGATCATCCCGAGGCATCTTCTTTTGGCGATTAGGAACGATGAAGAGTTGGGAAAGCTTCTGAGTGGAGTCACGATTGCTCACGGTGGTGTGTTGCCGAACATTCACTCTGTTCTTTTGCCTAAGAAGTCTGCTAAATCTACTGAGGAAGTTGCGTCTAAGTCACCAGCCAAGTCTCCAAAGAAAGCTTAAATGTTCTCGATGTTGGTTTCATTCACCGGTTTAGTTATGTGTTTGGTACTTTTGTGTTGCGATTTGGTGAATGTATTGTGTAGAAAAATCTAGTTTTTTTTTTTTTTTTAATTATGTAATTTGGATTTGAATTCTCTTCAGATCCGAATTTATCTAAGTGAACGACTTATAATATATTTGCAATTTGCGTTAAGTCTTGTTAACTCATCACTAAAAACTATCGTATCTTCTAAGCAATTCGCGTATTTGATCCTTTTTCAGTTTACAAAGAACATAACAAATGTTCCTGTCTCAGTGTGCATTTCGTATTTATTTATCATCTTCGTTACGACATCTAACAACTACTCGAGGTTTTTGTTCGAAATTATTCGTTGGAGGTATAATCTCTTTCAATCTTTGATTAGTTTACAGATTAGCTTTCTATGTAGATGACAGTATCATCTGATTGGTTCACAAAATCCGATCTAAACCCGCGAGTATCTGGTTAAATCTGTTTCTATTCGTGATTAAAAGTGCACTCTAAGTGTTTGATTAAATGCGTGAAAGAAACCTTGAAAAGTGTACACATCAATGCAGGGCTTAGCTACGACACTAATGAACCTGTCTTGAAGAATGAGTTTGAAAAGTACGGTGAAGTTTTACATGGTATGATTCTCATAGTCTTCTCCATGTATAAACAAATGCAATCCCTGAGTTCCTTTTTATTGGATGTGGAAAGTACAGTGAGGGTAATTTGCGATCACAAGAGCGGGAAATCAAAAGGTTATGGCTTTGTGGTGTTTGATTCAGAAGAAGCAGCTGCAACTGCCTTAGCTTCCATGAACAATCAGGTTTGCACATTTAAACTAATTAAAGGCACATAACCTTTTTACTACACATTCGTGCTGACTTGATGGTTGTGTCTGTGTGTTTTGTTCAGTTACTAGAAGGCAGACACATCAGAGTAGAATATGCTCAACCTAAAAGAGGTTTGCTTCAGAATCAGGACTGATATCTCGATTTTTGATCTCACTGACTTCAGATCTGTAGGTGAAGCACCAAACTCAAGAAACTGCATTCACTCTTTTGAATTGTAGCAATTTAGAACTCAAAGATAGTTTTGGTGAACAGTCTTAAGTGGTTTTGTAATGACTGTATGTTCTATTCAAGCTTTGGTAGTGTCTTTTCACTTCCTTAACAGTTTTCTACAAATATCAATCGGCCATTAACAATCTGAAAACAAATAATCAAATCACAGACAGACGGGCTTTAACAATTTTGAAGCCAATCATAAAAAAATAACCCTCGTTCTAATTTTATTCCATTGGTTCGATTTCGGTTTAACACAATCTATGCTCTTGACTAATACTAACCCACGCTCCACCATCGGATTGCCACCATGTATCGACGACAGTAGTGATGTTGCGAGCTTTCAAGAAAAGCCCAATAATGTCACTACAGGCCCAACAGATCCATTCAAAGCTACCCAATAAAATGCAAAAAACCCTACTTCACCTATCGTATTTAGCTCTCTTGTTCAACTTTCTTTCTTCGACGTTAGCAAAAAAGAGAGATTTCTGCGGCTGCCCACACTTCGATTTCAAATTTCAAGGTTAGAAAAAATCTCCAAAACATCCTCACTTCTCCGCTTCTCCGATCTGTGGACGTTATAAATCCTCTTAATAATTCTGTTAGTTTTGAAACTTGAGCTCAATTTTGTTTGATTCATAGTTGGATACACTGATAGTTTTGGATCAAAAATACGATTAGATCTAGTGAAATTAGCTTGTGATTAGGTTCTTGTTGTATCTGAATCTAATGTTGGAATCAGAATCTTCGATTTGAAACTAAAATGTTGGATTTGTAAATTTTGTTGTATGGTTTTCAGCTTCCGAGACTTTGAAGAATGGTGAGAATCAGTGTGCTTAACGATGCTTTGAAGAGTATGTACAATGCGGAGAAGAGAGGGAAGAGACAGGTCATGATCAGGCCTTCTTCCAAAGTCATCATTAAGTTTCTCACTGTCATGCAGAAACACGGTATATATAGTCCTTTTTATTCATTTTTTCATTTGTCTTGCTTGTTTCTTATTTAGCTCAAATTGCAATGTGTGTTTCGTGAAACTGCAGGTTACATTGGTGAGTTTGAGTTTGTTGATGACCACAGGTCTGGTAAGATTGTGGTTGAGCTTAACGGGAGACTTAACAAATGTGGAGTCATCAGTCCTCGTTTCGATGTCGGTGTTAAGGAGATTGAAGGATGGACCGCTCGTCTTCTTCCTTCCCGACAGGTCAGTTCCTTGGTTTCTTGCAGTTTATGATCGTCCTTATCAAGATCTTATGCAATGGTTGAATACAGTTTTAGTTAGCTTATACTTTGTATTGGTGTGGAGAAGTCTCATAAGCTTGAGTTTGTCTGATAATTGCAGTTTGGTTACATTGTTCTTACAACCTCTGCCGGTATCATGGACCACGAAGAAGCCAGGAGGAAGAATGTTGGTGGCAAGGTTCTTGGATTCTTTTACTGAGCTTCGAGAGTTCCATCGGTTATACTTCTCCTTGTGTGAGATGATTAATTCGAATTGTGCTCAAAGTTAAAAAAAGGGTGGTAGAGTTTTTGTTGCGTTTGTTTTCTTTCTTAGATGATATGCCATTTTGTTCGTTATGGGTTTTGCGCCGAAGTTGTTAAAGACTTTTGCAAAGTTAGACGGTCATTTTTCAGTTTGTGTTTTCTTGAGCCAATCATCATATCTATGGCAGTTTATCATCACTTCTCGAGACTTCTGGCTCTTTTGTTCAATCTTTCACCTGAAATAAGATAATTGTGTAGTTTGACAATAAATAAATCGCAGTTTTTGTTAACTATCACTCGATTTAGCGTTTTAATTACAATCTTCTCAAGATTGTTTTGATTAATCCAAACTTATTCGTCGTACATATAAACTTCACCATTGTTTTCTGAGATCTTTTCACATTTTTCATACATAGAATATATCAAACCACTAGTGCAACATGGCAGATATGAAGTCTATGAGTATGATCTTCAAAAACATGTTCACGGACATTTGGGTCCGCCTTTGGAGTTCTTCATGTCGCGGTAACAAGGACACTCGTCTTTGTTTCCATAAGTTCCTGAGGGAACACAATAGTTACACTTCTCGCAACATATATTGCAATACTTGAGACACCGATCGTGAATTCGTGCCTTTGAACATCTCATGTTGCATTTTCCGAAGCATGGTGCTAGTTTATGTATCATTCCAAATGTAAAATTATGTATTTAGAATAGTGAGATTGTAAAGTAGGTAAATGAACTATGTATACTTACAAGAATCAGCGGTTGGAAGCATGGACAAAGAAGATGAAAGGAGAAGAGAGACAAGGAAGAATCGCAAAACAGCCGACTTCATCTTCATTCTTAGTGAGGTTTAATTTGCTTCGACAAGGCTTGTTGCTTGAAGAAAAAAAAACTCAAATCTTGCACACAATGAAATAAGTTTATTTTTTGGGGGATGTGAGCAAAATGAGGCTACAAAAAGAAGTTATTTATAGTGAAAACTCCTAGTTTAGGACCATTAGGTGAAACGTTTTTGTGTATATGTATCTTATCAAATGATTATTAGTTTTCTTAAATGAAAAATAAGAAGGCACAATGTCGTTCACGTTGAGCAAACATCTCGTTAAAGCTATAATCGGAATCTTAAGGCAAAATGGGAACTTCTACAGCTTTCTTTGTTCTCTTTATTTTATTTATTTACTTGGATTTTCAATTCAATGATATACTCAGTTTTTACAAAGCAGTCCATAAGATGATAAGGAACGTTTGTTGTTTAACGAAGTGCATACATATACTCTACTTCAAAGTCAAGGATGTCAACCAAAGCAAAAATACTAGATCGAATACAAATAATTAAGATAATGGTTAGAAGTTCGAACTAAAGTGATAGACCACCTACTTCAACAATCTCCCAACGAATGTGACGGGAATTCTAAACTAGATCTCGTCTTTATATGGATCTTTGCCCAATAGGCTGACAGATGGGATGGATTCAACTTCTTATTATTTGTGGCAAGCTGGTTCACTCGAGACTTAAGCCTTGAGTAATAGGTTTTGTTTGCATGCTGCACAATGGTATGCATGCTGAATTAAAGATTTTTAGATTTCTAGCTATTTATATTTTTTCTACCTTTTCCATAATTTAGAGGTTCAGTGTTACACGCTTCCTTTACTTTCTTTACTTCAAAAGCTTTTCTCTAATCATTCATATATGTATGTGTGTCATTTACACAATTCGTTTTTACATAAAATTGGTAAATATATCTTAACCACCCGTAATTCAGTGTACATGTTTACAAAAACAGATTTGAATATGAGAACGAGATAATGTATATTATCAGAATAATCGGCACAAACTTTATAAAATAAAATGTAAATCAGATAATGTTGTTAATGAAGATTATTAGATTAATTTAAAAAATAAATGGTAGTAAATCAGAGAAGGCGTATTTTAGCGGTCCGCCATTTCCATCGATCTCTCTCCTTCTTCTCTGCTCATCGGTCTCGTCCCTGGATCGTGTCCGGTGTGATTCGATGGCTGCTCCACCAGCTAGAGCTAGAGCAGATTACGATTACCTCATCAAGCTTCTCCTGATCGGTGATAGCGGTACGAATTTGATCTCTCATCGCTAGGAGTGTTTCAGTTTTTTTTTTTAGTTTTGTAACTTATGGATTCTTATTCTATTATTGTTGCAGGTGTGGGTAAAAGTTGTTTGCTGTTAAGATTCTCTGATGGATCCTTCACCACTAGCTTCATCACCACCATTGGGTTTGTTATTATCTCTCTCTTCAACCATATCTAAAGAGATTAGAGACTGTGATGTTAATAAGTCTCTGGGGCTTATATTATATTGCAGCATTGATTTTAAGATAAGAACTATTGAGCTTGATGGCAAACGCATTAAACTCCAGATTTGGGATACTGCTGGTCAAGAACGCTTTCGAACCATCACCACTGGTCAGTGATTTGCTCACTGTGGAGATTGGATTAGATTGGATTAAGAGTCATTATATGTTGCTCTCATCTCTGTCAACTAGCAGAAAGATATCTTTACATTGTTTGTGCAGTCTACTTGATGATATGGATGATGCTTAATTTGTGTTCACTTCCTTTCTTTGGTTTTTGTAGCTTATTACCGAGGGGCAATGGGTATTTTGCTGGTGTATGATGTCACTGACGAGTCATCCTTCAACAGTAACTTTTTTGCTTCTGTCTAAGCATAACATCTTTGGTCTTTACATTTCTGCTTTGTTCTGGACCTGTTTTCTTGACCTGTTTTCTTGACCTTGTTGTGCAGACATTAGGAACTGGATTCGTAATATCGAACAGCACGCTTCGGATAATGTCAACAAGATCTTGGTTGGGAACAAAGCTGATATGGACGAGAGCAAGAGGGTATAGTAGGAAACGAGTTTCATTCACACTTACCTTACAACTGCCTCATTCACAGCTAATCATATTAAAATAGTGTTTACTTTTGTTTTGTTTTTTCAGGCTGTTCCAACATCAAAGGGTCAAGCACTTGCCGATGAATATGGAATCAAGTTCTTTGAGACAGTAAGCCAAACATTGTCTGGATATTACAAGTTAAACTCCATTGGTTATTAGTTTGCTTGCAAGGCTAATGAGTCATTTCACATCTCAGAGTGCCAAAACAAATCTAAATGTGGAAGAAGTTTTCTTCTCGATAGCAAAGGACATTAAGCAGAGACTCACAGATACTGATTCGAGGGCAGAGCCTGCGACGATTAGGATCAGCCAAACAGACCAGGCGGCTGGAACCGGACAAGCCACACAGAAGTCTGCATGCTGTGGAACCTAAAAGTTCCCAAAGTTGGAAATGTAAACAAAAACCAGATTTGTCTTCAGTGCTTTTGTAATTTCCCTTTTTCGATTATTGGTCTGAATTGGCATTTTTTAGTTTGTTCATGACGGCAATAGAATCTTGAAGAAATCGTTTGTTATCAGATAGATTCAATGTTCTTATAGCTTGATTATGTTGCTAAATTGGTAAGGCTTCTTCTGCTCACAACTCGGAATCTCTTCTATCTCTGTTACATGATCATGTCTTACAGCTTCTCCACTAAAGAAGTGTTTACATTAAGATCCAGCAAAATGTTTACAGTCTTACAATATTCCACATATTAAGCTTCTTGACGTTTGAAGGAAAGCTTGTGGAAGAAGCTTCCATCTTTGACGTCTTGGCCACTGCTTTGTTCTTTGGAAGAGACTCAAAACTCGACTTAGCCACTTGTTGTTCACTGGTCTGTGGAGTTTATTGTCCATACACGGTACAGCATATCAGATGTTCCAGTTGGTTCTTGAACATAAGTTTGATTAGCTCCCAACCACATTAGTGTTACGGTTACAACGAAGCTTATTTTACGCGTGTTGAGTGACGTCTAATCTTTGACCGTTCATCTCTAGAAGAGTTGTCGGCCCAAACATCTCATTTGTACTTTTGCTATTTGATGTCAGAAGCAGATTTACCCCTCACGTTCAACGCCAACGGTTCAACTGACCCACTCTATGTAGCTTTTTAGTTGTTTTGTTTTTAGCGAATGAGCAGAACCCAAATCACTTTATTAGAGAACATTCTAGATAGTCTACTAAGTGCGCCTCAAACTTTTATATTCACAAATTTCATTTCAACTTCAAGATAAAAGCTCAGTTAAACAAGTCTCACTTGTCCCTCAATTTTTTTTTTCTGTTAATTAAACAAAAGTAAGTAATATGTGATGTTTATTTTTATAAAAGTGAAAAATATCATAAACTCCAATGCTATGTAAATATATTCACCAATCACTAGGAAAGAAAAGATTACACTCTATAAAAGTTTCCTAAATTCTGCAGATATGTATATACAAATCTAAACTATTTATGGAAATTCAAAGAATGAGACAAAACAAATCAACAAACAGTTCTTCCAAGCTCCAACTTGAGATTCAAATTCTCCACCATCCCCAAACTCAGATCCAAACAAGCAACCCTCTTGCCACTGCTCGACTTCTTCAACGTCGTCATCGTCGGCTCCGGCAATAAATCACGTGTAACCAACGCTCCGCCACTCTCGTTCCTGTGTCTCCTCATGTGACCTCCTAGAGCTTGTCCCATGGGAAACTCCACTCCGCATATCGGACAAGGATGCGACGACGGTGCTTTAGCTTTCTTCACTAATCCAGAGAGACTCTCATTGCTATTAGGTTTCTTGTGACTCGCACGGTGACCTCCCAACGCTTGAAACGAATGAAACTCTTTCAAACACGTTTTACATGTGAAAACGCGTTTTTGATCTCCCACGGGTTCTTGTCCGATTCTTGATAGAAGCATCAGACAGTTCGCCGCCGTTGCCTCCACCGCCGAGTTAATCTCAGAAATTGCAACCATTTTTTTTTCAGATGTTAAAATTGAAGGTTTGTGTGTAGGTATGTTGGTGTGATTGTTATTGTTGTGAGCTGTTGTTGTGTTTGTGTTTTTGTTTGGCATGTATTTATAGATATGTTGTGTGGACTGAAGACGTGTGGAAAGATGACGGATATACCCTTGTGACTTGGTGGATAAGTAAGTGGCAGGGAAGGAAGTGTGGTGTTATCGTAATTACGTGGAAAATGAAGGGGTAGAGAACGAAGATGCGAGTTATGTGGTCACGACTTGCGACACCGCGTAGCTTAGGAGACTTTCGTGTGGATGAGAATGTTCCTCGTGCTTTCTCGAACTCTTAGATATTTATTTTTTATTTTTTTATAAAACATTAATAGACTCTGAGTTTGATTTATTGTCTTCTAGTTTACTCACTTACTAACGCCCGGCGCGTGATTTTCTCAGCCGTCTTCTAGATACTATAGTATATTTTATGAAATCAGCCTTCTGGATATGTTTGATTTATACTAATGTACTTTTAAAAACAATGGTTTGAATTCTTGAGTAATTTTATTAGCTTATACTAAATTAAATTAAAAAACAGAAAACATTATTGGTTTCTTTTTTTTGTATATATATTTTTTGCTTCTAGTAATTTCTGTGTACTATTTAAAATTATAATTTATTCAGAAGCATGATATATAGAATAGCTAGGAAAGAGGGTTTGTATCTCTTGAGGAAGAAAAAACAATTTGTTACAGAATGTTCTATAAAAACTGACGTCAGCAATGAGCGTTTCACAGTTGATCCCAGCGAAGGCACGACAAACAAAATGCGTGAAACGTAGGCGCCGTGTGGAGTAAGTGAGAGTAAATTAAAGAGGCGATATGTACGGAGACTTGATGGAAACGTGGGAAGCAAGAAGAGATAATATTTTTTTTTTGTAAAGAGTGACGTGGATCTTCTTCTAGTACATGCTTCACGCGGTCTAAACTTCGTTAAGTAATTGTTTATATGCCTTTGATTCTTGTTTTCACATTCCCTCTCGAAGCTTCTCCATTTATTGAATAATCAGTTAGCTGATTCAGGTCAAGTACAAAATGTCTACTGAAAGCAGTTTATATGATTAGACAAGTATATGGTTGTTGGTTTAAAGGATCATCAAATAACGGATAAACATCACATATATGACCGACTTGTTTTGTTTGACTCTGTCTATAGATTGCCGTTGCGCTTTGTACGCCAAAGAAAGATGTGTTCAAAAAAAAAAAAAAAAAAACAAAAAAGTACGCCAAAGAAAGAAATAATATTCACTGCTTCTAGTGTATAACGACCAATCAAAAGAAATCTTATCTTTTTGAAAAATCTTTACAATTATCATTTAAATTATTTGACGCGTTAGAGTATTTCTAATTATGTTTTATTTCATTCCGAATTCCATTTCCGGGTAATGTATTCTTTTAGTATCATTTCGTTTTTCACTCTTAAATAATAAAAATGGGTGTAGTCACTAGTCGAAATCATATAGTGGTATTCAATTCTCGTACTAATTACTCCATCTCACTTAAAAATAAAGTAGGATTAAAGTAATTACTTTATTTTTTAAAACGAGGTTATATATTGGAGATACTCTTACAAAACTCATTTGATTTATAATTAAATTGTAAATTAGTGTTTTAGTTACCTGACAAATTTGAAAACACACAATTGTCTTTTAGCAAGCATGGAAATGACAATTACGAATCGGCCCAAGGCCCTGGCCCATACCGCCACAAATTGATCCGTTCTGTATTCTGAATCTGTTTCCACAACTTTTATACAACGAAGACTTCAATAATTTAGATATTAGCTGAAAAGTGACTGCTAGAGGCCTTCATACCAACGTTTTCGTTCAAGTCTGAGTTCAGCTTTCAGGTTTACAAGATAGCAATTAAAAAAACACCCATGTGATTTGATCGGTTTAAATGATATATGGTTTCAGGCTTTAAGTTCCGACTCACCAAAAAAGTAGACCCTGATGTTTTGGTTAAAGCAAAGCCGTGTCTGACTTCTTCATAAAATGCATTGTCAAGCATCTAACTCTCCCAATAAGACATCTTGGAGAATATAGATAGAGAGGGATCATTGTTTTCAATGAGCCATGTTTGTAACGTTTGAGTGCAATTTATCGTTAGGCTCTAGAATGCTTACAGTAGACCAAAGTTACAGTACATATTTTTACCCCTAAAAAAAAGTTAACAGTAAATATTGAATCATGAATAGAAATTGAAAAGTGAAAACGGTTCCTAAATTCGAGAGTTTGGAAGTTGTCACTTTGACACGTGGCTATCTATGAACTATCCAGTGACAAGTGGTACACTTACATAAACTGTGTGTGTTGTGTCTGTTAGACCCAACTAAAGCTCTCACTCGGGTTAAACCCGACAACGAAAAATATGAAAACGAGATCATCATCCTCCTCAGTACCCTCCGGTGACCTGCTTCCTCTTGTCAAATCTCCGGCGGGTAACAGTCGCGTTGCCAAGCTACAGATCGTGGACCCCACATCGTCTCGCGGGAAATCTTTGCATGGTTTGACCGTCGTGAATCGGAGGCGACCATCGTCTCGTAGAAGGAGAGGCAATGTCGACGATTCGGTAAGTGAGACCTGACAAAATATCGAATCTCTTCAGATTGTCTATTGTTTCCCAAATTAAGGTCCCTTGATCTAAGATTTTGAAATTGCAAAAGAGCATACATTAATCTTGGATCAAAACGCTTTCTTCACTGTGTTTTTTATTTTTGCTTTTACAGAATCGTCGCAGCTATGCCTCCAAGGGTTTCCGTTTGCCTAAAGGATGGACTGTTGAGGTGTCTCCGAGGAGAAACACTTACCATATTGATAGGGTAGAGCTTATGAGAACTGTGTTGGCTATTTTGATTCAAATATAAAACAAACATAGTCTACTTAATTAGTGTGGGACAGATTACAAAGAGATCAGCAGAATATGATAAGAATTATCTGAGCTCAGTTAGGTTATTCTATAGTCCAGATCTTAAACTGTTAGTGTTGTGTTCTCTACAGTTTTATGTTGAGAGAAAAACGGGAAAGAGGCTCCGTTCCCTCGTCTCCGTTGAGAGATACTTGAAACAATCCAAGAACCCTAAAGATCAGCAGCAGCAGCAGCTTGTGCTTTCACAACATCACCCTGTCCCTTCCAAAGATTTCAATCTACCTGATGGATGGATCGTTGAGGAGAAACACCGGAGAAATTCCTGTCGAGTAGACAGGGTACACTACACACATCTCTGTCTTTGGTTTGCCTGTTATTTCTAAAAGCGTTAGTGCTGTTTGTTTGCAGTGTTACATTGAGCCAGGAACAGGGAAGAAGTTCCGTTCTCTGCCTGCTGTTGAGACATACTTGAACGGTGGTACAGTTGATTCTGGGCAGCTTTCGGTAAGTTTTAACATCATTTAGACTTTAGAGGTACTTTGAACCGGTGGTTTTGTACCGGTTTGATGGTGTTTGTTTTCCAGGTTTTGGCCAATCCTGGAAACCCACCAGAGAAAGTGAAATGGGTACTGACTGGTCGAGGTGGAAACATGTTTAGTGCGCATGTTAGCGGCTCGGACGTCTCTGGCTCTGTCCAAAAGACATGGTCTGAGGCTTTTGTCTCATTGATCCAAGACCGGCTTTAACCAATGTCTGCTGATTCCTTGATTTTTTGGTTTAAATGTTGTTAATAAGTTATCCCGGTCAGTAGTCTGTCCAAGTTGTTTTTACTTCGGTTTAGTTTATAACTGACCTTAATAACCGGTTTGGACAGTTATACAAGTTGACAGTCGATGTGTACCGTGTTTCGGCAATTTGGGTATCTATGTTTATATGATTTTATCGGGTCGTAAGGTAATTAAAATGTGCAAATAGTGAACCAACATTTGTCGGATGACATTAAAACCTTTCAAGCAGAGGATTATGCAGACGAGTACATAACTACAAAGAAGAAAGCCAGAAATAATTAAACATGTAAAGGAGTTTAATTGGAACCTCTGTATTTGGCAGGTGAAAGTGTCCCCAAAGCTCAAACACTGTAAAGGAGTTTAATTGGAACCTCTGTATTTGGCAGGTGAAAGTGTCCCCAAAGCTCAAAACACTTTCTCTGGAAAATCAAAAGTAAAGTTCTACCGTGGGAGCTAACCTTCTAAGAAGAGGATTGGAAGTAGAAGGAAGATGTAGGAGATGTGGTCTGACTGAAACAGAACGGCATGTGTTGCTACAATGTCCTTTCGCTTCTCGGGTCTGGGACCTAGTCCCTGCGCTTCACAAGCCATCATTGGTAAATTCCCCTGAAGAACTGTTGATAGCATGCCATCGTATGATTAATCTACCACCAACGGGTTTGGGAGATGGAGCACTGTACCCTTGGATTTTGTGGTACTTGTGGGTGGGAAGGAACAGGTTTGTATTTGAAAACAGATCTGGAACAGAATAGGATTTAGTGTCATTGGCACTTAGAGAAACTCGGGTGTGGCAAGCAGCTCAGAAGGAAGTAAACAAGAGTTTGCAGGTTAAGAAGAACCATTCAGCTACCGAGCTTGGGAACAAGGAGGAGGTTCAGTGTTTTGTAGATGCAGCATGGAATGCTGGCACCAATGGAGGAGGATTTGGTTGCATCTTCAAAGACACTTTTGGTAATTCTCTCCATCGTTTTTCATCAAACCGCAGCTTTGTCAGCTCTGCCTTGATAGCAGAAGTTCTTGTGGTTAAAGCTGGCTTATATGCAGCACGGTCTTTGGGTTTGCGTAAACTTACTATTAGGTCTGATTCCAAGTCCCTTATCATAGCCATCAATTCTAAGGAGCAACTAGTTGAAGCCCAAGGAGTGTTATTTGATATTGCTTATTATGTAGCTCCTTTTCATCTGTTAACTTCTATTATGTACCTCGAGCAAACAATGGAGATGCAGACGCCTTGGCGAAAGGTGCTCTGTTTGATTTTAATTGATGTAATGAAGGTTCGTTCAAAAAAAAAAAAGATGTCAAAAAAAATTATTTATTTAAATATATAAAGAAATCAATATTGTGATTAAGTATTCGTTTCATATACGACGTCTTTAGTTATAAATCTATCTTATTAGAATAAGACTGGTGGAAAGCCTGATCTTCTAGTCGATCACGAAAGCTTAAGCTAGTGACTGTTTATATGGACAGCACTTTTTCTAATTGATATTGGTTATCAATGTGAAAAAAACTTATCCAAGTAAAAAGAAGAAGATAAATACTATGTGAATAATTTGTTGGGTTTTATCTCGCTTTTTAGTTTTTTTTGTGCTAAATTATCTCGCTTTTTAGATTTATTTATTTTAAATGACAAAATGTTATCTACCATGATGTAACTTTACTTTTAGAAAATAGAGTCTATATCAAATTTGTTAATTTCACCAATCATATTTTTTTTTTAAATTACATATAAATAACACTTGTATTCTTATGTATTTTATGCAAAAAACTTACATTTTATTATTTAGGTTTTAGAATATGTGAATGAAAAATATATATAATAAATAATTTCAGATAAAATTTATTACTATTTAATATTAGCTTTTACTATAACTTTTAAAATTTATAGATAATTTTATTAACTTTTGAATACTTTTAAAATTATTGAATATTTAAATAACATAAAATTTTATTTACATAACACATTAAATCATAGTAAATTTTCATAATTTATAATTTGTTTTGTATATTTGATAAATTAAATATTATATATATATATATATATATATATATATATATATATATATATATATATATCTCACAATGTCTTACTTTGAAATATTTTCAGCCAAAATTTACAAGTATAACCAATTTTGATAAAACCTATGCAAAACATTTTATAGCAATCAATTTACAACTACATCTAATTGATCTACAACACATATTGTACAGCTATTTTTTTTTGCCACAGTTCAACTAATCATCACCTATGGTGTGTTGGTTTGTGCACTCTTATTAAATGCCAAAATTATGATTAATCCATTTAATTTCTACATGTTAATATTAAGAAAAAATATTTGGCTGATTTAGAGAAAAGAATCGTCTGATTAAAGAGTTAATACAAATATGAAAGTAGTTTATAAAAAAGAAATCTACAATTCATTTAAACTACCTATAATTGCTTCAAAATACTAGAATTTTATTTAAATTTTTCTTATATGTTTTTAGCTAAATTGTTTAATTTGAATTTCTGACTACCTAATTTCTTTTTAGTTCGGAAGTAGTTTTTGATTAATTAAAAACTTTTCAAATCAAACTAATTAGTTTTAACTTTTGGATATTCAACAATATATTTATTATACTTTGATGAGAAAAGAAACCATTGTTACTAATATGGCATAAAGTGACGCTGGCGTGATTCGTTTAAATTTCAAAGTAAGGAATAATCGAAGGTCGACTTAACGGTGGATACTATTTTTTGTTTTATTCTGTTATATCTTTTCATGTACAAGGTGTTTTTTGTAAGATTCTAAAGACTTCGAGCTATGTCGACTGTGATATTAAAACCTGTTCAGACATTTTACTTTCTCACTTTAATATAGTCTATTAGCCATGTAAGACTTTTTTTGCAAAAAAAGAAAAAACTAGAGTTTTATGAAGTAATTAACAAACTAATCATGTCAATAAAGTAAATTGAATAAAAAATGCGTTTTATACCATTATAAATTATTGTTACCAAATGATAAGCGAGTAAATTTGTAATATAGTTAAACACAAATAGATAAAATAATGTGATGACTATCAAAAACATTTTATTCATGATGAATTAGTGGAGTTCGGAAGAGAGAATATTAGCGGTGGCAAGGTTTCAGGATGTCTCTGTAGAGGAATAATCTTCCTAAAGCACTAGCATTATTCTATTGTTTATGTAATACTATTCCCCCATACATGGATCATAAATCATGGCTTACGTGAACGTTAAGAGAGCATGATCTCGGGAATATCCAGAGTGCGTGATGCGCTTAACAATTAGGCTTCTCGACATCTGTAGACTGTTGTAGGCTGTAGCCATACGCTTTTTCATATACTTAAAAAATATTCAGAAAGTGCGCCTCAAGATCTTTGGTAAAAGCAACTCTAATGGTGAAGGTAAAAAAGAGTTATCATAATTAAAAATAAAAGAAAAAAAAATAAAATATGAGAGAAGCATGAAAAATTCTAATATAAGGTCTGTTTTTGAGAACTTGGTTAGATGTTAGTTTAGCAGATGTCTTCTTTCTACTAGCCTTTCTACTACATTAAAAAATTAAATACATCATAATATTATTGTTATTATTATTTAGAAACATTTCATGTGTTATAACGATAATATATTGCTCTAAGCATCTCACTGCTGGGGAGAGACTAATTAACATGTTCTAGTCCCCGGCAGATGAGACCATGACCTTAAAGCCTTGACTACACACAAAGAAAAAAAGCATAGATGTGTATTGAATTTTTATATACAGGTAACAGAATACAACAGAATACGTCCGCTATCTAACAGTCAAATACTTTATGGTTAAATCATGGCATGCCTGTTTTTATGCGGAGGTAAGAACATAAAAACACTACTTAAAATCGTAAACCTGGCTGACAAAAAAAAAAAATCGTAAACCTTGACATAACACATGTTTATGTACGATTAGCCATAAACTAGTCTTAACGAAAGGACAGACATAATAAAGTCAATTATAAGGGTAAAACCACTCGGTTAGCAATAGCATACTTAATATTATGCCAATTGAAGAGCACGGTTAAGAAGATTGGGATCAAAATAACCCTAGTGCATCTAAATATAAGCATGCAATGCAGGCAAACAAGCTGAAAACAAGTATACAACTCATAGGATTCTGAGGTTATGTTATGATGAAAGAAAAGAAAGAAAGATAATGTGGGACCGAAAGGGTCTTATCTTAAAATTGGTAAGTGCGTATGCCTTCGCAAGTCACGAGCCAAGGGAATTGAAGGGAGGGGAAATCTCACTTAGTGGAGTGGGCATAGAGGAAGTGGTGGCATCCACGTAACTCAGTCTTATATCTGTTTGCTTATTTCACTCTAATCTCTTTAGAATTTTTGGGTCCTCCATTACAAAGACAACTCCTAAAAAACAGAAGGGTCAGTTCTCGAATTCAACAGTTTTACACAACTAAAACTCTTGTGATGAGAATATATTTATTTTTTATATAGAGGAAAAGATATAAATAAAAAACAAAGGTGTTTATGCTGTCAAAATACCCAAATGCTTTGATTCTGACCAACTGTTTACACAGGTAAATAAAGGTTCAGTTGTGGGCCTAGGTAATGTCTATGCGGCCTATTATTCCATGTAGGTGTCCACTAAATATATTTATAACTAAAGTAACATCGATGAAATGGAAGTTTTCAAAAAAAGATTAGTAGTCCGATGTGTTAAAAAAAAAAAAGATCAGTAAGACCGACAAATTTAGCTATCGGACTAAGCTGCATCAAATATATTTTGTTAATAATATTTAAAATGTAGAAAATATACTACATAAGAAAATTCAGGAAACTATAATCATGTTATGCAGAACAGCAGAAGGGTCCGAACTCCCAACACCCGATTAATAATTTTGAGAACATTGGATATGATGACCAACCCCAACACTAACAAAAATTATACTAATATTTACTTTATTTATTCTTTCCTCTTCAGACTTCAGCTACTAATCGTATTATTCCATATGTGTTAATCTAATTGTTACTTATCATTAACACATTAGTTTAAGTGATCAAAGCCAACTACTAATAAATCGATGGCTCAGATCAATATGACAAATATCTAGTAGCTTTCCAATTGTGGTGGTCTTTAGAATTTTATAATCGCTATTGGAC